CAGCATGAACAAGTCGACCTCAATGCTGCCCAAGACGCTGTACTCGTTGCATTTGCTGTCCTCGGGACACGAGTCCACCAAGGCTGCCAGGGCTGGGCGGAGAACGGGAAGGAGGAGAAGATTAATGAATCAATAAACAAACGAATAGAATTACCAACGCGGACAAACAATCCAACAGTAAACCACAGTCTGCTCAAGGAACTGCCAGCAACACTGAACAGGGCAAGGCGCTAGTATATAAACACAAGAGCGAACCCCACATGCCCTTCTAGCACTGATGATGCTAGGCTCAAGAATACCAAGGACCTCCTCCTCCCCCTCCTCTCCATAACCCCCCTCCCTTCTAGCACTGATGATGTTCCCTAGTTGGGTGATGAAACGTCTGCAAAAAAACCCACCAAGCTCAAAGAGCGCCAAGATCCTCACAGTCTTCCTCCTCCTCCTCCTCCTCCTCCTTTCTCCTCCTCCTTTTCCACTTCCTCCTCCTCCTCTCCAAACACCCCCACTCCCTTCTAGCACTGATGATGTTCCCTAGTTGGGTGATGAAACGTCTGCAAGAAAACCACCCAGCTCAGAAAGCACCAGGCACCCCACAGTCCTTTCCTTCCTTCCTTCCTTCCTTCCTTCCTTCCTTCCTTCCTTCCTTCCTTCCTTCCTTCCTTCCTTCCCTTTTCTTCCTCCTCCTCCTCCTCCTCCTCTTCCTCCTCCTCCTCCTCTTCCACCTCCTCCCTTCTAGCACTGATGATGTTCCATAGTTGGATGATGAAACGTCTCCAAGAAAACCACCCAGCTCAGAAAGCACCAAGGAGCCCACAGTCTCTTCCTCCTCCTCCTCCTTCTCCTCCTCCCTTCTAGCACTGATGATGTTCCCTAGTTGGGTGATGAAACGTCTGCAAGAAAACCACCCAGCTCAGAAAGCATCAGGCACCCCACAGTCTTTTCCTTCCTTCCTTCCTTCCTTCCTTCCTTCCTTCCTTCCTTCCTTCCTTCCTTCCTTCCTTCCTTCCTTCCTTCCTTCCTTCCTTCCTTCCTTCCTCCACCTCCTCCTCCTCCTCCTCCCTTCTAGCACTGATGATGTTCCCTAGTTGGGTGATGAAACGTCTGCAAGAAAACCACCCAGCTCAGAAAGCACCAGGCACCCCACAGTCCTTTCCTTTCCTTCCTTCCTTCCTCCTCCTCCTCCTCCTTTCTCCTCCTCTCTCTTCCCCCTCTTTCTCCAGGGAACAAACTCCCCTTCTGTCTAGCACTGATGAGGTTCTCCAGTTGGTCAATAAAACGTCTGCAGGAAAACCACCAAGAACAAAGAGCACCAAGGACCCCATCATTGTGACTTTTAGATCTCCTGCCTGCAGTCACTCCGGCTCCAAAACATTCATGATAATAGACACATACACACACCCATAAAGCTTCCTTCCTGCAGCTCACAACTCAGCTACGATATGACGTACGATATTTTTTTCCAGGGCCGTTGTAACTTTGAACGGCCGCTAAACGAACGGACATAAGTCAAGGACCGTCTGTACATCCCACATTTCAACCATGCAGTTTTGAGGGTTTGCATCTTGGCTTCCTGCTTCAAAATATCAACTATAATTTACGCCGCCTGAAAAACAGTCCTGAAAGACTGCCAAAAAGGCCTACCCAGTGCTAGGTTGCATTAACAGAGGGATAGAATCAAGCTCACGTGAAGTGTTAATACCACTTTACAAGGCCTTGGTAAGGCCACACTTGGAACACGGCATCCAGTTTTGGTCGCCACGATGTCAAAAAGATGTTGAGTACAGAGAAGAGCAACAAAGATGATTAGAGGACTGGAGGCTAAAACATATAGTTGCTGGAATTGGGAATGTCTAGTTTAACGAAGAGAAGGACGAGGGGGGACATGATAGCAAGTCTTCCAGAATCTCAGGGGCTGCCCCAAAGAAGAAGGAGTCAAGCTATTCTCCAAAGCACCAGAGGGCAGGACAAGAAGCAAAGGATGGAAACTAACCAAAGAGAAAAGCAACCTAGAACGAAGGAGAAACTTCCTGACAGTGAGAACAATTAACCAGTGGAACAACCTGCCTCCAGAAGTGGTGAATGCTCCAACACTGGAAGATTTTAAGAAGACACTGGACAGCCGTTTGTCTGAAGTGGTATAGAGTTTCCTGCCTGAGCAGGGGGCTGGACTAGGTGACCTCCAAGATCCCTTCCAGTTCTATTCTATTCTATTCTATTCTATTCTATTCTATTCTATTCTATTCTATTCTATTCTATTCTATTCCAACATCATCAATCAATCAATCATCATCATCATCATCATCATCATCATCATTATTATTATTATTATTATTATTATTCCTGCCACTCACTAAGCCTCGATATGACGAAGCAGGATTTATTACGCAAACCCTAATGGAGGCTGGGTGTTCACCCCGGCTGTTAAGGCACAAACCAGCGGGCCCATCCAGTTTAGCAGGTTCTGTGAACTGGCCTCAACATTATGATATTTGTACCTGCAAGGTTCACCTTGACTCCTCAACTTACAACCAGCATTGAGCCCAAAACCTCTGTGGATAAGTGAGACATTTAAGTGAACGTTGCCCCATTTAATGACCTTTCTGGCCTCGGTTGTTAAGACAATCACTGAACAATTGTAAAGTGAGTCACAGGCTTGTTAAGTGAATCTGGGTCCCCCCCCCCATTGGCTTTGACTGTCAGAAGGTTGCAAAAGGGACACAGCGACCATTGTAAATAGGAGTCAGTTGCCAAGCAGCTGAATTTTGATCACATGACCGAGTGGATGCTGTAGCGGTCGTAAGTGTGAAAAAACGATCACAAGTCCTGTTTTTCAGTGCCGTGGTAACTTTGAATGTTCACTAAATGAGCTGTCGTAAGTCAAGGACTTCCTGTGCAAACACCAGAAACAATAGAAATCATTCTCAACTTACCACCAGAATTTCCACTGTAGCTCATTGTGGTTGTAAGTTGAGTCAGACCTGGTTTTAGGACCATTTCTATCATGGTTGTTAAGTCAATCATTGCAGTCGTAGGTATGAATTCATTTTTCCGCATGGGCATTCAAGGTTGTGAATCATGATCGTGTGATCGTAGGGCACTGAAACCAGTTGTAAATATGAGCCTGTTGCCAAGCTCCCAAATTGCAGTCACTTGACCTGGGAGAGACGTAAGTAGTAGTAGTAATAGTAGTAGTAGTAGTAGTAGTAGTAGTAATAATATCGAGACTTAACAACTGTCGATAAGAAAGACAAAAAAGTCTGGATAGTGGACGTGGCAGTGCCTGGAGATAGCAGAATAGAAGAGAAAGAACTGGAGAAGATAACAAAATACAAAGACCTACAAATAGAAATAGAAAGACTGTGGCAAAAGCAAGCAAGGGTAGTACCAATAGTCATAGGCTCCTTGGGTGCAATCCCAAAACAACTGGAGCACCACTTGAACACCATTGGCATTGACAAATTCGCTATTAGTCAATTGCAAAAGGCGGCCTTATTAGGAACTGCTTCCATCCTGCGACGATATCTGTAATACCATCAAACATCCACATCTGCCTATCCCAGGTCCTGGGTAAGGACTCGATAGGTAGACAAAATGCCAAATCCAGTCTGAACATCTGGCTGACTGTGCGATGATCAATAATAATAATAATAATAATAATAATAATAATAATAATAAATGAAGAACAGAATAGAGGCATGGGAAGACAAAGCACTACATGGCCAGTACGTTAAAAAAATAGCTGGGAAAGCAGATAATAACAAGATCTGGCAATGGCTAAGAGCAGGAAAATTGAAGAAAGAGACCGAGGGACTAATTCTGGCTGCAGAAGACCAAGCCTTAAGGACAAATGCATATAAAGTCAAAATTGAGAACACAGCAACAGACAGTAAGTGCCGCCCATGCAAAGAAGCTGAAGAAACAGTGGACCACTTGGTAAACTGTTTCATGTTGCACAGACTGACTACAAGCAGCGGCATGACAAAGTAGCAACAATGGTGCATTGGAAGATCTGCAAAAAATATCATTTGCCTGTAAACAAAAATTGGTGGGATCATAAAATAGAGAAAGTCATAGAAAATGATAAAATTAAACTGCTCTGGGACTTCAGAATTCAAACAGGCAAGCACCTGCAACATAACACCCCAGACTTAACAATTGTCGATAAGAAAGACAAAAAAGTCTGGATAGTGCACGTGGCAGTGCCTGGAGACAGCAGAATAGAAGAGAAAGAGCTGGAGAAGATAACAAAATACAAAGACCTACAAATAGAAATAGAAAGACTGTAGCAAAAGCAAGCAAAGGTAGTACCAATAGTCATAGGCTGCCTGGGTGCAATCCCAAAACAACTGGAGCACCACTTGAACACCATTGGCATTGACAAATTCACTATTAGTCAATTGCAAAAGGCGGCCTTATTAGGAACTGCTTCCATCCTGCGACGATATCTATAATACCATTAAACATCCACATCTGCCTATCCCAGGTCCTGGGTAAGGACTCGATAGGTAGAGAAAATGCCAAACCCAGTCTGAACATCTGGCTGACTCTGCGATGATCCATAATAATAATAATAAAAAAGTTGGATGGTACCTTGGAGGTCATCTAGTCCAATCCCCTACTCAGGCAGGAAAAACTATACCATTTCGGACAAATGGCTATCCAGTCTCTTCTTAAAATCTTCCAGTGTTGGAGCATTCACCACTTCTGGAGGCAGGTTGTTCCATTGGTTAATTGTTCTCACTGTCAGGAAGTTTCTCCTTAGTTCTAGGTTGCTTCTCTCCTGGATGAGTTTCCACCCGTTGCTTCTTGTCCTGCCTTCAGGCGCTTTGGAGAACAGCTTGACTCCCTCTTCTTTGGGGCAGCCCCTGAGATACTGGAACGCTGGAATCATGTGTCTCCCCCCCCCCCGTCCTTCTCTTCGTTAAACTAGACATACCCAATTCCAGCAACCTTTCCTTATATATTTTAGCCTCCAGTCCCCTAATCATCTTTGTTGCTCTTCTCTGTGCTCTTTCTAGAGTCTCAACATCTTTTTCACATCTTGGTGACCAAAACTGGGTGCAGTATTCCAAGTGTGGCCTTACCAAGGCCTTGTATGAGGACCGTTTCTGCCTTCTTTAGACACCCCCCACCCACAAATGCCCCTGTGAAAATGCATCAAATTCTGTTTACCTACGCCAAATCCAAACAAAAACACCAGGTAGACAGCGATAAACTTGATCACGTCGTGCAGGATGACCTACAAGGCAAAAGAAAAACGTTAATGATGAATTTAAAGCACAGGAAAATAAATGGCACAGCTTCTACTTCTTATGAATGTATTTAAAATGGAAAATTTAGTTTTGAGAGGTGGGGATCAGCAGCTATTTTAGATCATTTTAAAAAAGCTTGCTCCTAGAATCAAGAAGCTGAAAACACCAGCCTGAAGATGACGAATGAGACTTCATCGAAACGTCATCAAGACACTTCCAATTTGACACGGGAGAAAACCTGAACAACCAAAGACCTACATACAAACATCCACGAAAACCTCAGAAAACATACATATATACTAATATAGATAACTAGATAGATAGATATAGATATTTGATAGACATAGATAGATAGATAGATAGATAGATAAGAGATAGAGAGATAAGAGATAGAGAGATAGACATAAATAGATGATATAGATAGATAGATAGATACATACATACATATATAGATAACTAGCTAGATAGATATAGATATTTGATAGACATAGATAGATAGATAGATAGATAGATAGATAGATAGATAGATAGGAGATAGATAAGAGATAGATATTTAATAGACATAGATAGAGGATACAGATAGATAAATACATGCTTACATAGATAACTAGAACAGTGGTTCTCAACCTATGGGTTGGGACCCCATTTGGGGTCGAACGACCATTTCACGGGGGTCGCCAAACAACGCAGTCCGCCATTTTTTTCCCCTTTTCCTTTTATTCTATTGGCTTTTGAAAGTCAATAGAATAGACTCTCTTGAATAGAGTCTAATTCTATTGGCTTTCAAAAGCCAATAGGAATTGTCCAGGCTGTCTCTGCCCTGCTGAGCCCGCCAAAAGTCCCATTCTGCAAACGGTGCTGCAAGTTGTCTGCAGCGAAGGCGAGCTGTCTGGAAGCTTCCACCCCTCCCTGCTGAGCAACTACTAAAAATGTAAGGAAAAGAGGGCCAGGGGTGGGAGGTGGGAGGCCGGCGGGCGCAGGGAGGGTTGCTGGCGCGCGTGGGGCCTGGCGGGTGCCTTACCTCCCTTGGGCTGGGCCAGCTGGTGGCCCAGCCAGTGGTCGCCCTGCGCCGTCTCTGCCCCTTGCCAGCTACGCCTCGGCTGGCGCAGGAGGCGCCACCACGCATGCGCGGTGCTCCCGGGCAGGGAAAGTCCTCTACTTACGACCTGTTGGGTAGTCCTCGACTTACGACCGGTTGGGGGGGTCGCGGCATTAAAAAGGTTGAGAACCACAGAACTAAATAGATATAGACATAGATAGATAGATAGATAGATAGATAGATAGATAGATAGATAGATAGATAGATAGATATAATAGGTAGGTGGATGGATGGATAGATGGATGGATAGATAGAGAGAGAGAGAGAGAGAGAGAGACAGACAGACAGACAGACAGACAGACAGAAGAACTGGCCCTGTGCAACCTCTCTCACGAAAGGACTGAACGGCTGAGAGGTCCAAAGCCAAAGCTGCCTCACCTGTTGGATCATGACGCTGTAGATCCCCATGGATTGCAGCCCCCGAGTGAAGTAGAGCATGTTGGCCCATCCTAAGGACATGGCCAGGACGAGGCAGGGCAGGTGTCCTTTGTAGGAGAAAAGGTAGAGGAAGACCGAGACGATCACCAGCACCGCTTGAATGAAACTGAGAAGGGCCACAAAAACATTATTTTTTTAAAAAAAAAATTGTGTTCTTCCTTCCTCTTAGAGTGTTATAAACATTTAACATCGCCTTGTTTCAACACGGTGATGTTTACATGATACGGTTTTAGGGGATGATTAACGTTCCGTTCTTTAGGGAGCTTCAGGTATCCAAAGGAGGGAAAGAAAAGACCAAATTCTGTCCTTGTGAATTACAATCTAGGGTGCCAATACTACAAGCGTAAAATTATTTGGATTTTTCGTCCAAAGTTAAATGTAACATTGAGAAAAGAAGCACTGCAATTCACACCAAAATACTGATTGTAGGATAATACTTTTGATCTTAACTACTTAACATCTCCATTACATTGTGGATTGTTAGAGGGATGGATGGATGGATAGAGAGATAGAGAGATGATAGAGAGATGATAGACAGAGAGAGAGAAAGAGAAAAAAAGATATATATATATATATATATATATATGTTTTCTAAGGTTTTCCGCGGGATATTTGTATATAGGGTCTTTGTTTGTTTCGGGTTTTCTCCCGCGTAAAATTTACGCGGTAGAAAACCCGACCAACCAAAACCTATATATATATAATAGTATTATATATATATATATATTATTTATATATATATATATATGTATACCCCAAGTAAAACCAATAACAAAAGCAGAAAGTGTCCCAAGACACTTCCAATTTTACGATGGAAAAAACCGAACAACCAAAGACCTATAGTACAAATACCCGCGAAAACCTCAGAAAACATAATATATATATATATATATATTATATATAATATATATATATATATATATATAGATATTTATGTAGGCTTTGGTTGTTCGGGTTTTCTCCCGCGTAAAATTGGAAGTGTCTTGGCGATGTTTCGACGAAGTCCCATTCCGTCATCTTTATGCTGGTGTTTTTCGCTTCGTGCTTTGAGCAGATATATATATATATATAATATATATATTATATATATATATATATATATCTATATAGAGAGAGAGGAGAGAGAGAGAGAGAGAGAGAGAGAGAGAGAGAGAGAGAGGGATAGAGAGAGGGATAGAGATATGATAGATAGATAGATAGATAGATAGATAGATAGATAGATGGAGAGAGAGAGAGATGAGAGAGAGAGAAAGAAAGAGAGAAAGAGTTATATGTGTGTGTGTATGTATACATAGAGAGAGGGATAGACAGAGAAAGAGAGAGAAAGAGGGATAGAGATAAAGAGGATAGAGAAAGAGATGAGAGAGAGGAGAGAGAGAGAGAGAGAGAGAGAGAGAGAGATCAAAACCTTATTGAACTATAAAAATATCACATAAACCCAAGTAAAACCAATAACAAAAGCAAGAAAAGCTACAAACAGTAAACAACACAGCCTGGGAATATTTTAAATAAAAAGGATGTAGAAAAACAGATAACAAGGATACTAACAGGGATTACACTCTTCCTTTTAAAGTTCCATTTATTAGAGCATCTACCACTGCTAAATCAAACTGACAGGGCAATGCATTTTCCTAATAGCTAATTAAATGCAGGAGCTTCTGAATGCAAGAAATATTGATGGATTAGTGACCAAATCTGGCTTGATGACATTTAACATTTATTTAGGGAGAAGGAATGTTTCCCCAGCAAGCATGCTGGCTGGGGAATTCTGGGAATTGAAGTCCACCCATCTTAAAGCAGGCTGGCTGGGGAATTCTGGGAATTGAAGTCCACCCATCTTAAAGCAGGCTGGCTGGGGAATTCTGGGAATTGAAGTCCACCCATCTTAAAGCAGGCTGGCTAGGGAATTCTGGGAGTGGAAGTCCACCCCTCTTAAAGTAGCTGAGCTTCAAAATCACCAGCTGAAAAGGAAGATTTCTGCAATCTTGCAAATCTAGGTTGTTTTTTGGCAAATGAAATATCCCCAAAGGAACAGGCGTGCAGATAGTCCTCAACTTAATGGAGCCTGCCCATTACAGTCATAAGTCAAGGGAATAGTAAAGCAGGTCAACACATCACTTACAAGGCAAAATGGAACCAGGCATCTGAAAGAATTGTTTGTAGATCGGATGGCCGTAATAAGAAAATGGCTACGCTCTGCAGGTGGAAACACACACAGGATACAACAGATTTAGCAGGCACATTAAACAGATGCTAGCCCGCTCGACAGGTAGTTCTCAGCTTACCACTGTTTGTTTAGCGACCGTTCAAAGTTACAAGGGCACTGAAAAAAGGGACTTAGGATCATTTTTCCACATGTCCATTTTAGCATCCCCCTGGTCACGGGATCAAAATTTGGACGTTTGGCAATTGACTCCTATTTATGATGGCTGCAGAGTCCCAGGGTCACGTAACCCTCTTTTGTTGCCTTCAGAAGTTGTGAATGCTCCAACACTTTAAGAAGAGATTGGACAGCCACTTGTTCGAAATGGTATAGGGTTTCCTGCCTGAGCAGGGGGTCAGACTAGATGACCTCCAAGGTCCCTTCCAACTCTGTTATTCTATTCTATTCTATTCTATTCTATTCTATTCTATTCTATTCTATTCTATTCCATCCTATATTCTGTTCTGTTTCGTTCCATTCCATATTCTATTCTATTCTATTCTATTCTATTCTATTCTATTCTATATTCTATTCTATTCTAGATTCTATTTTCTATTCTAGATTCTATTCTATTCTATTTTAATATTTTATTCTACTCCACTCTATATTTTATTCTATGCTACTCTACTCTACAGTATATATTCTATTCTATTCTATTCTATTCTATTCTAGTCTAGTCTAGTCTAGTCTATTCTATTCTAGTCTAGTCTAGTCTATATTCTATATTCTATATTCTATATTCTATATTCTATTCTAGCCAAACCCAAGTCCCGCAGCCGTTCTTCCTATGTTTTAGTCTGTTCTGTGAAACCCAGTTAGGGCACCCTAAGAGAAGGGATCCATGCCGGTGTGGAATATTCCTATCAGCACTTACCTCTTTAATAGCAATAAACACGGCTCCCAAGATAACCATGGCTTGTCCTGATAGCTGCAGCCAATTCAGGTCTCCGATCAATGCCAAAGGAAACGGTGGAAGCTAGGGACAAAGAAGAAAAAAGAACACGAGAAGAAAAAAATAAGAATATAGGTAGTCCTCGCCTTACAACCATTATTGTATGACTGTTCAAAGTTACAATGCAGGAAAAAGCGACTTATGATCGGTGCTAGCACTTACGACCGTGCTCGCACTTATGACCGTCGTAGCATCTCCACAATTGGGTGATCAAAATTTGGCCACTTGGCAACTGCCATGCCCAGGTAGTCCTTGGTAGTTCACTTAGTGACAGGTCGAAGTTACAGAAGGACAGGGGGGACATGATAGCAGTCTTCCAGTATCTCAGGGGCTGCCCCAAAGAAGAAGGAGTCAAGCTATTTTCCAAAGCACCTGAAGGCAGGACAAGAAGCAATGGATGGAAACTGACCAAAGAGAGAAGCAACCTAGAACTAAGGAGAAACTTCCTAACAGTGAGGACAATTAACCAGTGGAACTCCTTGCCTCCAGAAGCGGTGAATGCTCCATCACTGGATGTTTTTAAGAAGAGACTGGACAGCCCTTTGTCTGAAATGGTATAGAGTTTCCTGCCTGAGCAGGGGTTGGACTAGAAGACCTCCAAGATCCCTTTCAATTGTGTTATTCTGTTAATTCTTGTCCTGCTAGTGTTCAAAGTCACAATGGCACTGGTGTTGCCCCTTTTGCTGGATTTTTCATTATTAGGTAGGTTTTCCCAGTTGTTAGCCACTTTTCAATTTCTCCTCCTTGTAGTATATTGTTGAACTGCTTGGCAATGAGTGGGTGTATAACAGTTAGATGTTTCAACCAAAACCCATGCAGTTCATCTTCACCTGGTGCTGACCAATTTTTGATTTTCTTTGCTCTTTTTTCTACCATTTTTGTTGTTATTACTAGTTCTTTCATTTCAACTTCTGTTTTATTTGCATCCACCTCTTTTAACCAAGCCGCATCCTTGTTGTATTTCTTTGGGTTATCCCATATCTGCTTCCAGAACTGCACTGTTTCTTCCTTGTCAGGTACTGACTGATTCCTTGCAGTTTCTCCATTGATGGATTGGTAGAAACGTTTCTGATTGGATTGAAATTGGAGGTTCTGCCTATAGTTTGCAATTCGAGCTTCATATCTACTGATTTTCCTGGCTATAGCTGTTATTTGTTGCTTTATTATTTCCAGTGCTTTCCTTGATCTTCCTTGTTTCTAAGTGGTATTTCTTGATTAGGTATTCTTTGGTCTTCTTGTTCTTCAGCTTCTTTTCTTTCATCTGTTCTAGCTTGCTTGCATGTGATATTATTATTATTATTATTATTATTATTATTATTATTATTATTATTACCGTATGCCGGCGTATAAGACGACTTCCGGAAGTGCTAAACTCGGCGCCAAAGACGGGGGTCGTCTTATACGCCGAGTCGTCTTATACGCCGGAAATATTGGTAATTTCCGGCGTATAAGACGACGTTCTAGGAAGGTGACTCGGCAATAAAGACGGGGGTCGTCTTACATGCCAGGTCGCCTAATACGCCGGCATATACGGTATTATTATTATTACCATTTTTCACACTTACGACCATTGAAGCATCCCTCTGAGCCTGTGATTTACATTCAGACGCTGGGCGACTGATTCATATTTACGACGGTGGCAGTGTCCCAGTTCCCTTTTGCGACCTTCTGCCAAGCAAAGTCCATGGGGGGGGGGGAAGCCGGATTCACTTAACAACCGTGTGACTACCTTAACAAAGGCAGTGATTCACTTAATGACCGTGGCGAGAAAGGTCGTAGAAGGGGGCAAAACGCACTTCACGAATGTCTCACTGAGAAACGTACATTTTGGGCTCAGTTGCGGTCGTACGTCGAGGACTGCCTGTGTTTACAATCGCTGCAGCATCCTGGGCTTACGTTAGCGCCATTTGCAGCTTCCAACAGGCCAAGTCGGGGGGGGGGGAGCCAGATTTGCTTAAGGACCACGTGATTCACTTAACAACGGCAGTAATTCATTTAGTAACCGTGGCAAAAAAAAATAGAGATCTTAAAATTGGGCACAACTCACTTAACCGAGCCTTGCTTAGCCATGAGAATTCTGTTCCCAACTGTGGCCGTAAGTCAAGGACTACCTGGAGAAGGCAGTTTATTGAAGATGCCCTGGAAAGGGATCCATCCTGTCCAGAATAAAAAGGATGAGGAGATGGTGCTGCCCTCCCTACCTGTTTAAGGAGGCTCTCAGTCATCCAGGTTCATGGATGTCCCAAAGATGCTTTTTCTGGAGGCCACTGGACTCCCTTGTTTTTCTTTGAAGACGTTTCGCTTCTCCTCCACGAAGCTTCATCAGCTCTGACTGGATGGTGGGGAATGGGAGGATTTATACTCCTTGCAGACAGCTGGTCGTTTGCCTTCTTTTAGAACAGTGGTTCTCAACCTTTTTAATGCCGCGACCCCCAACCGGTCGTAAGTCGAGGACTACTCAACCGGTCGTAAGTCGAGGACTACTCAACTGGTGCAGCACTGTTTGCAGAATGGGACTTTTGGCGGTCTCAGCAGGGCAGAGACAGCCTGGACAATTCCTATTGGCTTTTGAAAGCCAATAGAATTAGACTCTATTCAAGAGAGTCTATTCTATTGGCTTTCAAAAGCCAATAGAATAAAAGGGAGTAGCACAGCTAAGGAAAAGGGGGGAAAAAATGGCGGATTGCGTTGTTTGGCGACCCCCGTGAAATGGTCGTTCGACCCCAAATGGGGTCCCGACCCACAGGTTGAGAACCACTGTTTTAGAGAGAGTCATTGAGGCCACTTGGAGGGTTACCTGTGTCTGCTGGTTTGAAAGAGGGGTCAAAGAGGCCATTTGTGTCAAAACTGAACTGCCCTCCCTCAACAGAGGGGGAGGGACACAACATCCTCTATCTCCAGTCTACAACACGGTCCTTTCCGCAGTCCCAAGAAAGCTCCACACCCATTTGCACCACTCAGGTGACCCTCAGGACAGAGGTAAACCTCCAGGTGGCCTCAACGACTCTCTAAAACAATTCAAATGACCGGCTGTCTGCAAGGAGTATAAATTCTTCTATTCCCCACCATCCAGTCAGAGCTGAAGAAGCTTCTGGGAGGAGAAGCGAAACGTCTTCAAAGGAAAAACAAGAAGGTCCAGTGGCCCCTTGGAAAAAGCATCTTTGGGAGCCCTCTCTACCTGCTTGGTGTGAGGCCTGTAGTAGGAGATCAACGTCAAAATGAGGTTGTAGATGAAGTACAGGCCGCAGGAGATGAAGAATACGTGGCGAGCAAATCTCTTCCACTTCATCCGGAGCAAGGAATGCAGCGGTTCCAGAGCCAGCATTTCGTGACGATTCTGCATTGGAGGGGGGGGGGGGAGAAACACAGATTAAAAGCAAGAGAGAGAGCGTTGGTAACCAAGGTTTAATCCGGGTGAAATAACAGGTTAGTTAAACTGGGCCACAAGCTTGAATGGCTCAGCGATACAGTAGTGGCCAAAATTGTGGAAACCTTTTGGGGAAAGTGTACCGTAGAAAAGCCACCTTTGGTTAAGTTTCCGCCCGTTTTTCTTCTCATTTTTTTATAACTGTAGCCTTGTTCGCTTAATAATACTATTTTACATCGCTTTCTGGGTGACCGGTCAACTCTTTGCACCATGACTTTAATTTTATTACGTTTTGAAAGACCCCAAATGAAAGAACACACACAAAAAAACACCAACCAACTTGATAGCCATCACATAACACACTGACAAATGTCCTCCTCTCAGCTTCAATACAGGATATCAATCACTGGATCCTACCGTGATCTGATTGGCTCATGGCCAAAACAAGATGACACCTGATTGGCTCTCTAAACACTCACGCTCATTGGCTACCATCAGGTGAAGGAAAGCTACCTGAGATCAACCTAAGCAAGGTGTGCTTCCTTTTTCTGGTTATTTGGCTATAACGTTTCACAGGATACAGTACAGATAATTGAGCAAACTTTGTTGCATTACGTTCTTGATTAAATGATCTTTCCATTGATATATAACTTTATAACTCCAAAAAAAAAGCGGTGTTATTAGCCATCAAATCTCAAAAATACACTTTTCCCAAAAGATTTCCACAATTTTGGCCACTATTGTAGTCCAAAGGATGAACGAGCAGAGGGGATGCAGGCAGTCCTCAATCAAAATTTCTGTTGCTAAGCGAGACATTGCTTAAGTGAGTTTTGCCCCCTTTTATAACCTTTCTTGTCACAGTTGTTAAGTGAATCCTTGCAGTTGTTAAGTAAGGAACACGGCTGTTGCGTGAGGGAGTCAATCTATTCTCCAAAGCGCCTGAAGGCAGGACAAGAAGCAACGGATGGAAACTAACCAAAGAGAGAAACAACCTAGAACTAAGGAGAAACTTCCTGACAGTGAGAACAATTAACCAGTGGAACTCCTTGCCTCCAGAAGTTGTGAATGCTCCAACACTGGAAGTTTTTAAGAAGAAACTGAACAGCCATTTGTCCAAAATGCTATAGGGTTTCCTGCCTGAGCAGGGGGTTGGACTAGATGACCTCCAAGGTCCCTTCCAACTTTACTATTATTATAATAATCCCGCTTCCCCATTGACTTTGCTTGTCAGAAGATCGCAGAAGGGGATCATGTGACCCTGAGACACTGCAACCGTCATAAATACGAGTCAGTTGCCAAGCGTCTAACTTCTGATCATGTGACCCCGGGGAAAGCTGCAACGGTTGTAAAAGAGAGAGAAGGAGAAAGACAGAGAAAAACACACAGAGAGAGAGAGAGAGAGAGAGAGAGAAACAAAAGAGAAAGAGAGAGAAGAAAGGAGAAAGAGAAGGAAAGAAAGGAATAGAGAAAGAAAGAGCAAAAATGAGAGAGAGAAAAACAGAAGGGAGAGAGAGAGAAAGAGAAAGTAAAAGAAATGAGAAAGAGAAAGAAAGAGACAAAGAAAAAATGAGAGAGAAAAGGAGAAGAAGGTAGAAAGAGAGAAACAAAGAGAATTGAGAAAGAGAAAGGGAGAGAAGAAGGGAGAAAGAGAAAGAAATAAAAGACAGAAAGAGAAAAAAACGAGAAAGG